TCCTTTTTAAGTGATACCACAACAAACAAAAAATAATTAAACCAGCATATTTAAATATTTAGATCCCTTCCAGACCTCCACGGTCCATTCACCCTTCTATGTTACATATGACAGTGTAGCCATCCTCACACCCTGCTCTCTTCACCATCCCACAAACACGCTGCCCACCCACAACCTCACAGATCAATCCTATGCATAATAATATGAACAGCCTGACCTCCTGAGCATGTTTTCACCTCCCAGCCTGCTGAGAAAGCTCTGCTTTTCCAAGAAACTTGTTGCCAGACAGGCAGTGCTGTCCATCAAAAAAACCAAACAAACCAAAACCCAATCAAAACAAACAAACAAAAACCCCCCAACAACAGAAAAGGACTCCAACAGCCATACTGTTTAGGTTTCAGTGGGCTGGGGAGCTAAAATCAGGCAAGCCTCCCACCAGAAATGTTGAGTTGTCAGTAGCTTGTCCTGCAGCTGAATACAAAGACCTGTTACAGGTGCAGACACTTCTGGGCACAGTTCTCCAGCAAGTTTCAAGGCTCCCACCAAAAATCAGGTTAATTCTTTCCACATGGTAGAGGAAATAAGGGCCCTAAAAGCAGGTTCAATCACACCTAGAGAAATCACATCCAAGTCACATTTTCCAGTACATAGTTCCTGGGGAGAAAAAGTGCCTCATAGCACACTACACCATTATACTCAAATCAGTGCAACAGATTTAATTCACTAGGTCTTAGCCTCATTTGTAACACTAAACAGATAAAGCTCATGTTGTGTTATTCTGGTATAGCTGACTCTAATTATGCACCAGTAAAAACAAACAAACAAACAAAAAAAAACTATCATTTTTTTGCTGGTATTCTTTCCAAAGCAGGAAACTGAAGTTACTACCTCATACTGGGGCACGATGGTAGTAATTGACTGATTTGTCGCCTCTAAACATTTGGTGACTCCCAGTCTGATGTGGGTAATAATCTCAAACTTTAAGACTTGTCACAAATGGTTACCTGGAGAGTGGAATAGTAAATGAGAATAAATAAATTTTATTACAGTACACTTCCTCTATGTCTATCCTCTTGTTTGTTGTTGTTTTATAGTGGGTTTTTTCCTTATGCTTCTTCTGTTATTTGCTGGTTGTGAAAGCAGAAGGTTTCAGCCTCAACTCTTAAGGATACACTAAAAAATGAGAGCAGGTGAGTGACACAAAGCAGTCACAAACAATTTTTGTAACAGAAGCAGAGAGCTATGGACACTCATCCTCTACTCCCCCAAAAACCTGTACTATTAAACTTAAAGAATATGGAAAAGGGAGCGACTATCACCAAAATACTAGTCAAAGTAGTTTAAAGGAAAGACTGGAAAATTTTGTGCTTCTGGAAAGTAGGAAAGTTCATCATCTGAGTGCTACAGCCCCAGAGCTTTCCTGCATCCTTTATCAATAAGGACAGAAATACAAGGTGGCAAATTATCTTTTCAAATGTCAGTAGAGATGCCATGCAAAGCTCTAATTCATCATTAAGCCAAGTGATTTCTAAAGCCCCACAACACAAAAGTCTCTCTGAAGCAAAGCTGAAGCTGCAATCCTTCTAAAGTGCTGTATCCTTTGTGTGGGATGATTGTCACAAACAGCTGTTTCAGTGATGCAGTTTTGTGGTTTACATTATGTGAAGTCACTTTTGCACAGCACAAGGAAGACCAGCAGAAGCTAGACAGTGGTTGAACTAGGTCAGGTATGAATTCAAACAGGTGGCTCCAAGCATGTTCTGAAGAATATGCCCTGTGCCAGCTCTGCTGTGCCACTTACGCAGGTAAGTGCAACAGTTTCCACCTTCACACAAATCCCTTAGAGAAGTCAGAATGAGATTTATGTGCACAAAGAATTTCTCAGACCTACTAGCAGATCATCCCTATTAACCACTCTTCCATCCACTTGGACTCTTCTTACTTCAGCCTGCACCAAAGTTCTAAAACCACTGAGGTATTAACTTCTGCATAGAAATGCAGAATACTGCAGTTTTTGCTTGGTGACTGCTGCTCATCTTCTGTTGTCTGGACAAGGATATACCCACATGACAAAAGAAAACCATCCATATCTGCTCAAACAAAAGTTTAGTAATAGATAGCAATCAAACACCCATTCCAGAATGTCTATCTGTATGAGATGGCTTGAATTTAAAGACTGAGTTTCTGAAACTTTTTCTAAGTAGTTCATTTAGGAACACTTCCTATTTTGGAAAACCTTTCCATGCCAACCTCTCACGGACAGGCTGCAGCAAGCAAGCAAAGCAGAAGTGCTGTTATTTGAACAAGGGCGCCACGTAGCGTTAGGAACCGACGGAACACAAAGCAGGCAAGCTCTCCTCCTCAGCCTTCCCTGGCTAAAGGAAACACATGGCCATTATTACACGGAGATGGACGTCTCCCCACCTTGGGATTTTTGACAAAACAGAAAACGATGCAGCACTCAGTGTAAGAAGGAGAATTTAAATACACCTTCCCTGGATTGTGCTGCAGCCTGAAACGTCAACTAACTTAAAGCAAAACAAAGTAGCTGTGAACTCCATTACATTTGCACCAAGTAATTTTTTGTTCAAAGCACAGGCAAAGAATATGATTTGTAGCTAAGCCAAGAGCAGATAACGAGTATTTGGAGGCTGCACCTAAAAAATCAAAACAGTAAACTGCTTGTGAGACTAATCACAAATGTCTTCCTGTCATCTGTTTTCCTGCCAATATCAAACCCTTCCAGAGATTTTTTTCAAAGGAGTACACAAAAAACTTTGGAAGATATTGGAATACAATGACATATTATTTCCTCTTACTAGTTATGCAGGAAAAGGGCAGGAGCAGTGGTGTGAACATAAACTATGTAAAATAAGCAAGTCTTTCAATCAATTAAGTTACAATACTGTACATAAGGCTCCCATAAGAAACTAGACAATACTGCAAGCAGTGGGAAGAAAAAATTTATCCAGAACAACAGAATATTTTGCCAATTTAAAAGTTGTATTAGATGTGGAACAAGGAAACTTTTTTTCTTCTTGAGGAAAAGAAACTGCTTAAAAAAAAAAAAGTGAAACTTTTTTTAACATTCAATTTCAATAATAGTTTCTCCAGGAAGGATTTACATAGCTGTAATTTATAAAACAACATTTACAAAAACCAGACAATCGATTTTGCTACTAGGCAAGACTTTTCTAATTTCCTTTTGACAGCATTTTCACATTACTAAAAGGGACAAGAACTTTTATTGAGATATTTACATTCATGTTTTAAAACCCATGTTCATTGTCACATGTAAAGGAAACAACCCTCAGTACAACTATGATAGAAAGAATCTGGCATTAACCTTAACTTAAAAAGCCAATAATCATGTCTAGGTTGAGTGTTTTTTCTACATTAAATTCACAGTAGATGAAAGAGTCCCAAAAAACTTTAGCACTATATGAGCCTGAGATTCCCAGGCTTTTTGAGATCAGACTTCTGTAAAAAAAACCTCACACCCACCCAGTTGGCCCCATGCTTCTTGTCCTTCAGCCTGGGTTGTGACTCATTTCTTCGTAGCCCCCCTGTCCCACCCGGCACATGACTTTCCTAAGGGAGATGATTCAACTTGGACACACTTGCAGTCAGCTGCTGCTGACAAAGGGATTAATCCCAGCTCCATAAATGTCCATAAATGTCCTTATGGCTAAATCAGATACCTGAGCAGCCAAAAAAGATCACTGACTAAAAAAAAAAAAACAAACATGTAGCTTCCTGAGTATTACCTGTCCATGCAACAGGCTGCACCACGGACTTGGCAAGGTGGAAGAAGAGGCAGAACCAGACAGCTTTGGTAACTGAGCAGAACCACCACCTGGCCCACACCTACAAGTGTTTTAGAGCTGGCCACACTTGTAGAGATGTTGCTGTAAAAGTCTATGCCAAGTTAGGCCTCACTACTCATTATTCTGTCCAATACTCCCAAAACCTTCATTCTCAGCTAGCTTAGTATGCCTAGCTGAAAAACATATCTTGAATTGCTACAACTAAAAAAATATACTTTTCAGTAAGAAAAATGAAGATGTGTGGGAGCAAGTTGTTCGGAGCCACAAAACACAACTGCAAAGCATATTAAGGTTTCATTTCCAAAATGCCATTTCAAGAGTATCCTTCCATACTTAAGCAAACCATGAACCAAAAATGTGAAACAATATAGTCTCTTTTTAGTCTCTGTACCTAGTTCATGTATTTGGAGAAACCTTGTGTTGACTAAAATATTGCCCGTCAATATTCTTTCAGAATAGAGTTATAGAATTCTTATAGTTCTGTCTTCTAGGGATGCCAACTCAAAGGACTCTCACTTAACCTTAACAGAAGCTGCTTTTCCTGAAGTGTCAACCTAGTTCCCAATTTACATTTTGCTCAATAGCACAAATACAACTGCAACATTTCAGAGCACGTATTTTCACTTCCATTAAAGCGACAGTTGGCATAAATCCATCCTATTCACACAGTTAAGTAACTCAGAAGGCTCAAGCAACCAAAGACAGTAAAACAGAAATCCATAAACACAGCTAGGTTCTTCCTTGTATAAGTTACTATTGGCTTTAATGCATTTATGTTGCAAACATGTTTTCTCTTTATGATTTAGAAGCACCAAGAGGGATGAGACAGAGTAGTATTTTGAGTGAGGCAAATGGTGGTTTTACTAAAGGACTGAAGTTCTTAAAATCCTGTGCTTGTGTAAGTACACTGCTCAGAGCAGACAGTGCTTTCTGCATTTTACTTTTATCTATTTAGTTCATTCATCAACCTGCATTTGTGACAATCTTTCACTAAGCGTCAAGGTTTTTTTTAGTTGGGGGTTTCTTTATGTACAAAACTGTCAAGAGCAGGAAGCTGGCATATCACATATTAGAACACAGTAAAGTGGACAGATTAATCTGGACCAATCAGATCTTACCAGTTCCCCCAAAAATGTTCACAAAAGGCTTAGGGAAATGACTACCCAAATACAATTTTTGGCATATCTTCTCAGTCTTCTTTTCACCTATAAGCTTCAATCAAGTAAACTAGTGTGCTTAAAAAATAGAGATTTCATTCCTTACTCAAGCAAAGGTTCCCATTAAAGTCCCATCAGAAGACAGCTTTTGTAGGACTGCAGGATTTCTCTCTAGATTTGAATTCCAGATCTCCCTAACACTGAGCATGACATACATGTGCTGTTCTTCTTCCATTACATCTTCAGGACCATGTTGAGAAAAAAGTTGTGTAAAAAGTATTCCTTGCAGATTTTTCAACTGCACAGTATTTTGTCACAAAATTCTCAAATACTTATTTCATACTTGGTTGATTGCTATCAGGAAGGCAACAAGGAATACTATATTTCCACAGACATAGATGATTAACACAATCTGTTTAAACAGACGACCCTGCAAGAAAAGGGGAAGAAAAGTCATCAAGCAGTCAGTCTTTTTATTGGTTTAAACAAAGAATCATTCCATTTCACAGTAGTCAGTTATCAAATTGTGACTCACCTCTGCTTCTGCAGACGTGAGTGACTGCAGTATCTGTACTCTGTCATCTTCTATCACTTCAACTGTTCATGGGAAGAAAAACAGAAGTCAAGTCTGCCCTTAAGAGGAAGGGGGTTTCATTTTTATACTGCAGAAGTCTTACACAGCATCAAATCTGAAAAGGACTTGGGATTTTTATTTGACATTTCCTGACCTGTTACTATCATGCTCACAGCACAAATGAAAAATTATACTGGCACTGACCTACAAAATGTAAATTCTGAACACTGAAGTCAAAAAACATTTTGTCTTTTGCTAGACTAAATAATCAAAACACTGAGTTTTGAGCTAACACCTTTTTCTTTTATATTTTAAGATAACTGGATTTCATAAGAAGTATTTTCATTAGCCAGCATAAGAACACTCATTGTCCAAACATTTCAGGTTAATTTTCCCTATTTCTAGGAAGTAATTACTGCAGTTAAATTTAAATTCACATCTTTTATAATCACTCCTTCTCCACATGCCACCTTACACAGACTCCTTATTAATCATACTTCTTCAGTTCTGCAGCTGTCTCATCTCAGCCTTAGACCCAGGTCATTCACATGTGCAATCATCTCCTCTCTGTGACATCAGCCAGTAAAGATAATAATTTCTAATGAATTTACTACCCCTCTCTTCCCTAGACATATTGGAGTCAGGATTTCATATTCCTTGCCCAGTCATCAAAATGACAAGCATTCAAGCTTGCTCCTGCAGTAATTTTCAATAATTTAAATGCAGATTAAATCTACATTAATTAATCTGAACTTAACATACCCACGTGGGATCAAAATTATGGCAAAAATTAATAGAGTCTCAGAAAATATTTACACATTTCAGTCTGCACATTTTAGCCCCCTATGAACTGTGGTTTAAAAAATGAGAAGCTACTACTTAAAATGGCACAAACCCCACTCTTCTAGAGACTTTTGTCTTAAAAACTGGCTTTCTTCCATATTCATTAGTCTCCAGAAGATTTGACACTACTAAAGAGTTACCTCCTTTCAACTTCCAAGTTAGAGGCCAAAGAACACCTCCTGAAATTCAACCCACACTGGTTTTATTCTCAGCAAGCAAGGAGACAGCAGGAGTTTTGCTGGTTTGTACCTTTACGAACGAGACAGTAGCTGTGTATTTCCAGAAGAACATCAGTACCAACATGCCAAGCTACAAAGCCAATCATTGCATAGGTGTCCCATGGGTCTGGCAGGTCAAGTGCTGGCAGATCCATTCCCAAGAACATAGTCACAACTATTCAGTAAAAACAAGATAAAAAAACCAATAAGAATGTTATGCCAGTGTACTTTAAAAATTCTCTCAATGCTTTTTAAATAGATTTCCCATGAATTACCTAAAACTGCTTGAGGAACAAGGTTAAAGGAGTTCACACAGCTGGAGGTTGTTGAGGGTTTTTGTGGGGGAGATCAGTGGTTGTTTTGGGCTTTTTTGGTAGTCACCAGTCACCACAATATTAGTGGTTAAGGTTGCTGTGGAAGCTTGCCTCTATTATTAGAATTAAACCCAGCTTCTGGATCTGTAAGTGAAATTCCTGTCTCCCATTCAATAACATTGAACTATGCTACTGTAAGAACACCATTCTCGTATCTTCCAAGACAACACGAAATTATGAAGATACAGGACAGGTCCTCATTACAGAGGAATTTCAGATTTGTAACTCCTTTGGTTTTAAAGTCACTTTTTCTCCAAGTTGTATCAAATGGCCCCTTAAAACTCACAAAAAAGATGGCCAAGAAAAAGGATCTTCAGACATGCCTGGACTAGATATACATGGATGTTTTAAATGAACAACAGCCCAGACAAAGGGCAAAGTTCTAAAGTTTCTTCTTTAAATCAGTTAAGTGGGAGTTAGTTACTTCTACTCACCAGCTAATATTCTAGCTGTTGTACCAGTACTCCAGTGAAACCAGTTAAACAGTTGCCTCCTATAAAACAATGAAACATATTTATTGATTACACCACTGGGGGAAGGGGTCAGAAATCAAAGAACATCTTCTCCTTTCAAACTGTAAAAACTTTCCATTGTACAAGAATGTTTATAGAAACAGTCACATTTCTTTCCTGTGGCTGTAATTTAATGAGTCAGTTGTACCTTGGCGCGTGACGAGATGGTCTGAAGCCTGCCATGAGTGGTTGAAAGATTGTCAAAGCCATCACTGCACAGCCAAGATAAGGATGAAAACCTGCTTGCTAAAGAGAGGACATTTTTCTTAAATATCATATCTATATAAACAGAAAGAAAAGACACCAAAAAGTTGCAAATTTTCCTTGTTCTTGTATTAATAACTTACAATGGAGCAGCACTGGCAGAGGCAACAGGACACAATAAGCTGCCCTGCAGCCAGATGGAGATTGCTTGCCTTGGTAGCAGACAAGCTGGTATGTCTGCTCAGGGCTTGCCCCACATTTTTGCTATATTGAGAAATTCTACCATAGTCTGTTAGTCTGAAGAGCAGACTAACATGACTATAGAAACCATAGTCCAAGCTCTCCAGCCTCAATCCTGTGTCTCCAGGATAGGCCTATTTTGTAACTCCTCCCAGCACTAGTCTTCTCTTTCACATGAAACGTTTTATTCAATTTCCCTAGCTCACATCTGTGACCATATTCTTCCACCTTAAATTCAGATACTCTCTAGACTTTCCAACTTTTTATGTGACTTTGCATCAAACAGAATACAGGCGACAGCAACAGGCATAAAATCTCTATCCAGCTCCTGCTCCAGACTAAGCTTATCACTCACTGTTATGTCCAAATTGACAGACACTTCTTCCCAGCAGGTTTACCATGCTAATGTCAGCCATCACATCCTTACTCCCCTCCCAAGATCATATTCTCTAAGAAAACAGTAAGACCAAAATAGTACATAAAGAAACTGCGAGCAAAGAAGTTATTTGAAAGAAAAAGGAAGGAAGGAAAACACTGAATTTTTTCAGCTGTAGTTTAAAGGAGACAAAATTCCTCTTCTGGGCTGCCAGAATTTGAACTCAGCCTACTTAAGAACAGTTTTCACAGAAAATTGGTTAGAAATAGTCATAATAGCTGGCAGTGGACTTGTTCATTCATTTAGTCCCACCTTTACCTTTCACCTAACAAAAAGTACACTTACTTGGCTCCAACCTCCTCGGTACACAAAAGGCAACACAAAAGAAATGCTTGTAAGCATGACTGTGGTCAACATAAGCATACGATGCACCTAGAAAAGTTAAGTTTGGTTTTAGAAACTCTACACTTAATACGTCATTAAAAGACATTACAGTTAAAAGACTTACAGTTAAAAGATATTCTTAATCCCCACTTAAGACAACCTTTACTAGTAAAGTAGGTGAACTTCTGATTTTTAATTTAAAATATTAAAGAAATATTTAAATCATACCATTTTTAGTCTATTTATTGGTTTATAATTCCGCTTGCAATAATACTAGAAAATACAGCTGGAGATATGTGGAGATTTTGCCCACCTGAAACCACAACTCCTTTCCAAGTAGGAATGAATGAGACCAGACAGGTTTGAAGAATCGTGCAACAATAACACCAATACTAACTGTGGTAATCCAAGCAACAAACATTAGTGCTCCTGAAAATAGAAAAAGGTAAATGATAGGTAACAAGGTAACAAGTTGAACGATAGGTAACTTAAGTGCACGTGAATACAACTTCCAAGACTATGTAAATTTTTAGTCCATGTGCACATGGGTAAAATTTACCAATAATTAAAAACATATCACCTGGTTCAGGCTACTGCTTTATAGACTTTATCTTGCTGGAGGAACAGAAATATCCATGCAAAAGAGAATCGTACTTTTCCCACACAACACAACAGAGCAGCTCTGGCTACTGCACATTTCACACATGCTAATACACTTTGTACATACTGGAGAGAGAAACCATTCTATCACCAACTCAGACATCAGAGAATGAAAGATGACATTGCTACAATCTGTGTGACAAAGAGCGAGTGGCAGTTCAATTATGGACCTGCATTAAAGTCCAGCAGTGTGGGAGAAAAAAATTCCCATTAACTTCAGTGACTCCAGACTGCCAGTTGAGTGGTTTCTCATTTCAAATAGAACTAAACCAAAAATGCAACTACAACAACTTCAAATAGAGAGAAAGAGATAAACAAGTCCCACTTTTAAATTTAAGGGAAAAGGCAAGGGTGGACTCATTTTCCTGGGAAAAAACAACCGTTCAACACTGTTCTTGAAATGAAAAATTAGGAACTTTACTCTGCCACTAGATTCTAGATGTCGCTAGCCAACAGAATATACAACACAAATGCCAGAAAGACAAGAGGAAATACCAATAACCCTGCAGTCTCAGCAACTCTAGAACTGGGAGAAAAAACTAGAAACTGCAGCTTACCATGAGCCTTGATAAGCCGCGGGGCCCGGGAACCTCCGATATCCTGAGGAAGGCCTGTGACATTGTACAGTCCATTGGTGACCAGGGGCTGACGATGATGTTTGTATATGAGTCCACCTGAGCAGTGACAAAGAGATTTATTTCTCACTAATGAAAGCCACTGCACTTGTGCACCCATTCCTCATTCATGAATTCAAGCCCTGTTGTGACTACTGCACATAATCATACAAGCTAGCACACAATAATATAAGAACCTAACATCATCTAAGCCATCCTGCACACTTACTGTGCAAAACACAACTAACCCAGCTATGGAAAATACAACATATATATGAGTAAATTTGCAGTAACTTCCACAAGCAAATTCATGATCCAGAAAAGCAGTAAAGGTGATTGAATTAAAGGCCTCAAGCTTGGAAACCTTAGTTCAGAGACCAATTCTCACCTAAGCCATATTTTACAGAAGGATTACTAACTTATTTGGAGCTGTTAAAAGAAAAGCAACCATATGTAAGTCAAATTTACCTTCACTAGCTTCCCCATCTGCCAGAAAGATGTAGTAACTGGTATCCAGATTAAATCTCCCTTTATAAGCAGGGAGATGAATCCTCCTTCTGAAAGAACATTGAAGAATACCATCTGCAAGCCTCCATGACACATCTTCAAGGGCATTCTGTAAAACAGGAGATACTTAACAGTATTTTCACTGGCTGAGTAATTGGCTTAAAAGTAACCCTGCAAAAGACAAGAGTGTCACTGATACATAAAGAAAAAAATGTAAAATTATCCAGGGAAGGAGGATTCCTTCTGAATTGGCATGCAAAAGCTATGTCAATAAGTCAACATAGCAACTTAGGGTTTGAACTCATCACTAATTTTTACAGTCTACAGCAATGTTCAACTCAGGACATACCAGTTGCAGTTCTAGCAAAGGGACAGACTAATAATAGGGACGAAGCTCCTAAAAAGACTAAGCTTCCATCATATGGCAATCTTTACAAATTAAATTTAGACTTCCAAAGTTAACACTTACTAGGAAGTAAGAGCCCAACCAATCTCACCTCAGAGAATTATGGATCCACCTCAGTATTTACACCTGCTATGCAAAACAAAAGCACAAAGCAGCAGCATGCCTTACTTCAAAGCTACACCTGTGAAAGTGCCTGAGCTGTTTTAAAACATACCTCTGAATCCAAGAGAGGATGACTTCGCTCCTTCAGATGGGCAGTGCTCACGTGAATGCGGTGATCCACGTTAACACACAGATAAGCATCATCACCACCCTGCAGAGGTGAAAAGAAAAATATCTATAGTTCAATAAAAACCACTACTGGCAGTCTCCAAAAGGTCTTTGATTTAATATAGGCAGCAAGACCTGAGAGATTTTTGTAGTTATCAAGCTGTTATTCCCCATTTTTCAAGCACATCAGTATTATTCCTGAGGAACCACATTAAGTCAAAGAGATGACACATAGACATTATGATTCACACTCCCCTCCCAGAGTAACAACCATATTATCAGAAGTTTCTTTAATAATTTAAAATTTATCAAATTGACTAGACAAGACAGAGATGGATGTTGGAGCTATTTAAAAATCCACTTCAGTTACAAGATCTTTTCCTGCACAGCTGCAAAAAAAGTGTTGTTAAGAACCAAATGTTCCTGCACTAGGGAGATGAATATAAACAGCATCTCCTTTGTGCAACAAGTAGCTTATGCATTACCCATTTGTCAACAGCATCATCCCTTTACTTGGACATAAGTCAGAAAGAAGTATCTTTCAATACTTTTAAAAATGTTTGTATAAGAGTACATTCAAGGATCAAATGCAAATGATTTTCTGAACAACAACTCAGTTTCTGAGAGGTAAGACTTTTTGGATAGGAAAATAGAGATTGATTTCACCAAGAATTTCAGTCAGACAGGCTGAATTCTGCCATAAGAGATACCTATAGGGAAATTCTACTGCAGCTTATTCAGCCCTGAGCTAAAAGTGAATATGCACCTGTAAGAAACAACCTGTGTTTTAGCACTATGGGAGAGCCACAGTTTGTGTGACATCTGACAGTATTTCCATTTTCCATATGCATTTCCATTCAAACATTACTAACATCACAAAAGCAACTACAGAAAATAAAATAGAACACTCACCATCCACTGGTCATGGGAAAATGCAAATGCTAAATATCCTTCACTTGGACCACTCATTTCAATAAAAACTGAACTCTCCTCTTGTTGGAAGGATAGGAAAAAACATGAAGCACTCCCAGGATCACAGTTTATAGGGTTCCTAATGCAGAACTTCGTAATTCCACAACCTGATGCACTAAACTAAACAATGAAACAAATAAACAAATTGTGAGCAATGAGAGTTTCCACTCTCTTCCTCCTTTTTACCCATGGTAGAAAAAAGCATACGAGGAACAACATCATCTGTGTCTGCAAACCAATATCCTAATCCATGTCTACAGTTACCCTAGGACTACTAAGTAAATTGATGGTGAATTCCAAGCTAAATTTGAGTTGAGTTTTCACTTTAAAGGCATTACAATAGAATAACTTTGAAAACTCAGCAAGAACTTCAGAAAAAAAAAAAAAAACTTCCTCTGGTCTAATATTTGGAGAGGTAGTATCAGCTGTAAGATGAGAAAGAAAACAACGGTACTACAGCTTTATGCTTGCTTTTTAAAGCAGAAACTCCACTGATATACATGGAGACAATACATTGATTATAAGGCACAGTTATCCTGGATCAAATAGCAATGCTTGCTCGATCCATTCAAGACTCAGTAACAAAAGCCAGTAACAGATGGACTCAGAGAGGAAAGTTTCTGAGCCTGCAGATGCTAAATAGGAAGTTATTAGTCAAGACCAGATTAAGTCTTTTCCCATCGTTTGTGAGAAGTATGCATAATATTTTCTGATCATTAATTTATAAACATTCAGTTAATCTTCTCATCTGTATGCAGCATGAGAACATTTGACCCTGCAAAGTTCAGGCAACTCATCTAAAGGTAGCTGTCATGTTCTTAGCCTTAGATAGCAAAGTTACTCATCCATCATCTCTCCTTTTCTGTTAACAGGCTGTATCAATGTCATCTCATTAACTTCCATTCATCACAAGCATTAAAGATAGCCTGATTTAGCTTCATCATTACTTACTGGCTTTGATATGGAGGAAACTGGGTGTGAAGTTGACGTAGCATCTGAAGTTGCATGCAAAGGTGGTGTCGGGGACAGCACATCAGGCTGAGAAACAATGGGACCTGGAATTTTTACCCAGAAAATCCTGTATTTCTTCACAACTGTGGCTCTTAAAAAACACAACACACATAGAGTAATTACTGTATAAATTTATAGTTGGCTGCTACTTTAAAAAGGAAAAAAATCTACAGTTCACAGAAATTATTTGTAAAACCCTCATGTCTATGGAGACTTCTACCATTTTAGGGATTGAAGTAGAAAGTATCTTAAATCTTGGTAGAAAAAGAATTTTAAAACACCACATGCTACAGTGAATATAAGAAACATTCATGCCTGTGGCATAGATAACTTCAGAGAAGAGTTGCATTGCTTTTATCCTGTAATTCACAAGAAGCTAGCAGTGTAACAGGAGGGTACACATATCATTTAGTTAGGTACAGCAAAGAGGAAGATTCTTAACAGTGTGTATTGCAGGTATGAGAAGTGAGAAGATAGCTAGAAAGACTAAAGAAACCAATCTCCCAATCCCCTTACACTCTCCCTGGAAGGAAAAAAAAAGTAAAGGAAAGAAAAGGAAAAAAAAGTCTCTGCATTAACACAGACTCTGCAGCAAGTAAGGGATGTTGACTTTTCAGGTCATTGGACCCAAGGGCTTTTCAGTTGCTGGACAATATTTGACACAGACAATGGTACAGGTTTGTCTTGTCTGCATTTTAATAAATTAGAATTAGGTTTACTTACAGAAACTGTACATGTTTTGGAGCATCTTCAGGAGCAATCCAATAGACTTTTATGTCTTTCTTTTTTGCTTTACTTGTGTGACTGACAGCTGAATTCTGAAAACACACATATATCAAGGTTTACACAGTGGATACACATTTTGTTACTTAACACAGTCAGCAGAGGCTGCAGCTAAATCCTACAGAAACACTGCACTACCCCAGTGCAACTGGCTTTTCCCCAGTCACTCATGATCAGCTCAGGTGAGGTGTAGCACAGCAACTTACTCATAACAAACGTCAAGACTAAAAGGAAGGACTTTCCCAGCAATGAGCTAGAGGTCCCTGCAGCATTTATACAGAAATGATGAGGTTTTCTTTGTAAGGAAATGCTCCACTTTTTGACAACAAGATGAAGAGACAGAACAAGCTCCTCAGTGCCCACTGAATAATTGTAAAGAACTGGACTCTACCTTGGTACGACCACATGTCAGCAGCTGAGAATGTCTGCGGTCAGCTAACACAAAAGAACCAACTGCAGGGCTATCCAGGTGTTCTGCATCCCGGGCTTGTATGAAAAATCCTTCAAAATCTGGTCCAGAAAGATGAACTAAAGCAAGAAGAAGAGTAAGAAAGTTTAACTCTACTCCAGAGGAAGAAGGAAGTATTTCAACAATGACTAGCAGATGCTCATTTTACAAGTACTGAATGATGATTTATGGACTACCTAGAAATGATTCAACTGCTTAGATAAATCTAGTATAGAAAACTGAGGAAAGGCATACTATAATACAAAGAAACAATAAATTAAACTCTTCAGCTGTAACTGACACAATACCTTCTATGTTGTCCCCTGGTTTAAATTCAGTCCCATTCACTGTAATGGTGTGCTCAGGTGACAGCTGAGGAGAGCTACCATGACAAGGTACCATGCTAGTACAGGCTTCTCTTACTTTTCCATTTGGATAACCAACCACAGATGCATAGAGGCAAACAAACATCCAAACAGCAACTGCAAAACCAGGCAGCTCCATCTGTATAAAACAAAATTTAAAGCCAATTAAACACAATACATATTTACATTATAGGTGACCACTCCTCTTTAGAAATCAGTTGAATGGTAGAATACAAAACCATGTTCAAAAAAAGCATTCATGAGAAGACACCACTCCCAGCTTCTGAATAACTTCTGCTTCTGATAACTGCCAGGCATTGTTAGAATGTTCAGATACCATATTTCAGGCCATCTACAGGTTGTCAATGGATTCCTCTATCCACTGGATGGATTATTTCCCTCTATGCATTTTGACAGCACTTTTCTTTTAACATGTCTTTTGCCAATCCCTCTCCTGTTCTCTCTCTCAAAAAAAAAAAATCAAGTTCCTTAAACATCTGCACAGGACAGACAGGTCTTAAAACATGCCTCACAGATGTATAAAGGTGAACAGTATTGAGGAACTACACAGCTAGTATCAAGCCCACTTTTATTAATCATAGCTTCATATTTTGCATCATTACAGACTGCCTTTTGTTTCCACAACCCGTGTCTATTTCCTCACATATGACAAATAATTCCTTAGTAACAAGTTCTTCTTTCTGCAGGGAAACTAAAGTTGCCAAATGCCAGAAATAAATTTTATACATGCAAGAGTGAGAATTTGGTATGAAGATTTAGACAAAGAAATATGTATGTTTGTTGCAGACAAGCACAAGACTTCTCCTTTGAACTCTCCCTTTTGGATATTGGGCCTCTAGACAATTAGTCAAACAATGGATTTGGCTTGTCACACTCTTGTCAAGGGAACAGCATGCATGAAAGACAAGGGATAGTAGGACTCCAGATCCTAAAACAGCTATATGAACCCCTAACCTCAGCTTTCATCATGCAATGTTTTGCCCCACCACACTACTGTTTTCATAAAAGCTGTAACAATTGTTTTGCTGCTCCAGTAGCATGCAGGGCTTACAGCTGTACACAGAACACCTTAGCCAACAAAAGAAAGTGTTTCCACATCCAAAAGGCCAAGAGAAGAGAGAAACTTTCTTTCAAATCCTTAGGCACCAGAAGTGAGTTATCAGCTTTGCTGGAACATAGACCAGGCAAGTTGGTCTGCCTTCTGGAAGGGCCATGCCCATTTTGCAGCAAGTGATAAGATGTATCAGGTTATGAAGTTCCCTGACAGCATGGATGGACATGAAGATAAGAAACACACAGAGCCATTTCAGACTGAACTCTGAACACCTAAAAAGCAGTCAAATGAAGACAAGGCACATCATCATCTTACACAATAGGAGTCATCAACATGAACTCTTCCAAAGTTCTCATACATGGAAATCCACAATTTCCAAGGCAATGCTATATTTTTACTTCAACATATGAGCTCCTCAGCAACTTTACACCACTAAATAGAAGAAAATCAAAGGTAAGAGTGTGTTGAACAGTTAGGTTTCAAGAACTAGAAAACTCTAGTCTCTCTCAATACTCAACTCCTCCCAAATATTCAAGATAACATTACGATCATATCTTTAACATCTAGTTCAAGTATTTCCTTCTAGTTCAAACACTTGTCCAGACTGCCAAAAGTTTACATCCAATTGATTTTTTACACATAAGTTAAAGTCACTTATAGAAAGATAAAGGCCAAGGTTCAGTACAATTATATGTACCAGAGAAAATTTCAAAACAAGAGATAAGGCTGCATATCACAGAGACAAAAGAAAGGGTAGTATTCTGCTTTAAGCAGCAGAGGATGTGGTAGGGATGTAAAGGAAACAAGAAATAACCTTGTCAGATTTAACTGACTCAAAAGCTGGCAGAAGAAAAAGATTAAGTAGAGATTAAAAGAATTAAAAAAAAAAAATAAAAACCTGAAAAAGATTTGGATAAATGGATAGCAGTAAGTTACTTCCTCCTGCACTGAAAACAACTCCTCCAGTACCTGCAGATAGCCCTGGTAGCCTAATAGCTCATGAGCACAGTGCTCACATTCCAACTCAGGATTTCTTCATAGAACTGATCTTCTTTCAGCTGTTTAACTTCATTAGCTACCTAGTGTGAAACCTAAAACTAACTTCAGAGAGGAAGAAGAGATGAGACAACAGTCAAGGCAAACATACTGCCAGCTCAAAGGTACAAAACTACCATTGACAGAAATTTCTCCTGAGCACCATCAGACAAGAGGGCGAACAAAAAAGGAAAGAACCACCTGAAGGGGAATAAGCTACATTAATATAAGGGGTGTATGACACATTCCTTTAGAAATAAACTCCTACAAAGGGAAAGTAGCCAGTGTTGCTGTCCAAGAGTCACCCTCCCTCTCAATTCATAAAAAGACCTTGGGTTGTCCTCTTCTACTTAGTTAAAGGTGGTCATATCATGACAGCTGGATTAAGCAAGGACAGAAAACATATTCATAATAATTCCTTACTTTTAAAATATAAACACATACACACCCCCATGCGCACAAAAAATACACACCTCAGCATGGTGTTCTTTCTAGGAAAGAGAATTTCAAGGGCATATTTGTTTCAAAATTATTTTTAGTAACAGTTTGAGTGTAGGTACTTACCTTACAGCCAGTCCTTCTGTTACAGTGACAAAGCCTGAGTAAAACTGCTATTGGCTCTCCACTTGTAGTAAAACAATTTATATGACTTTGTAATATCTTCTATTTGGTTTGCATCTAACTGTATTAACCTTTACTGTATCCAGGAAGCTTGTCTGAAAAAAGAAACAGTACACACACAAAAAAAGTAAGGTTTATAAGAGCATCTTTACTTCAGGCACATATTTTATACAGTTTCCCCACACTTCAGCTGCAATGCATGAAGCTGTAATGAAACACTGATCCTGCAGCTTCCTTTGCTTTTTCAGACACTTCCCCAGATCGAAGTGACACAAAGAGTTTCATACTAAGTAATTACTTAATTATCTTCTGGTGCAGTTAAGGGCAGGCAGGCAGGGGGAACCTAAACCAACTTTTGATACCCTCTTCCTCCAAGTATTAGTTGACATAAATTTGCAGCATGATTTTAAAGCTCATTATACATTTACTCCCTATCAAAGAGATGGTTTATTTTAGAAGAAGAAGAAACAATTTTTAAAATATGGTAACTTTCTCTTTTTCCATATATTTCACCAAGAAGGATTTTGCCCTGTTCATTTATTTGCTTTAATGAGTTTACTTGGGCAGCTATTCTGCATAGAATCTTCGTGGCCCTAACCTTGCAAACTTTTATCTATATGAAGAGGTAAAGTTGGAGACTGACCTAAAAAGACATAGTTAGTTATCCCAACAAGCAACTTCAACTACAGCATGAGCACATTTACTGTCACAGCTATCATAGAGCCATCTCCTATGCATGTTAACAAAGAAACAAAATAATAAACTAATATTTGCATAACAAGAAGCAAAAAAGGTACCAGAGGAACGTAGGTGGCATGGCTTCCAGATAAAATAAGCCATAGCTTACCTTGACTCATTAAGGCACACAGGTTTAGAAAGCAATTCAGAATTCTTGCATGAAAGGCAGCGTCTACACGGTGCTCTAAAAACGCCAGCAGATTTTTTGCTTCATACCTGCTGCAGATGTTCTATTAAGCAAATACACTTTTCAAAGAGCTTGTAGTATCCACTTCGAGCACTCACTGGCATCAGTTTAACCAAAGCACCGCTACAAAGGCTCCAGCAGCTCCTCAGCCCCGCACGTCCTTGCTCCAGGGAGCCTCACTCTCCTCTCCAGCACTGCTGACGGGGAAAGCACAGCCGAACCAGGCAGCGCTTTCATCTGCTCCAGCCTCCGCCGTGGCGGCGGCGCTTTTCTGGCTGCGGGGGCGGCCGCACGCGGGGCCCGGGCGGGGCGGGGCGCGGAGCCGCGAACGCTCCGTGTGCCCGCCCCAGGTGCTGCTCGCCGGGAACCCCCACAGCCGGGGCTCCGGATGGCCGTCCTGGGTTAACAGCTACAGTTTTACTGAGAGATTGGCCTTGTCAAAGCTTGCAGAGCTCATTAGCGGTGCTGTTCGTGGGCCGAAAGGTGGTCACATATACAGGCTTGCAAAACCAGGCCTTTCTTATCAAGAAAGCAAATAAATACTGGCTGTAACTGGGGCTTCGCTGGCAGAAACTGCAATTGCTTACACAGGCTTCTCTGACTTCTGTATTGTTTAAATCCAAGTTCTCCATTGCTCACGAAGTGACACAAAAAGACCACTACTTAGAAATCCAACAGGAATTTTGCCCTCCCACAGCATAGAAACAATAATACAATATTGTGTTTGTGTTAAAGAACACCTTTATTGGAGAGCTATAGTGATTCAGTTACTTAGTAGTAGTTCTGAGCAGTTCTAGAGATCCTAGTACTATTTGGTAATACTTTCTAAAAAATAATATATACTAAAATATGACAGACTACAAAATGTTTTTGTTAGTATTCACTCTTTTCTCAGTTTCCATGTACCCTGTGGTAACATATTAAAAATATATTTAACATGAAAAACAGTACGGGATTACTTTGCCTTATCAGAAAAATTATTTGACTGTTGCTTATACTGTCTTGCTCATGGGAGTTCTGGGAAGCTGAGATCTCACTCAGTGTTCAGTAACTGAAGAAACATAATGCATAAGGAATAGCTTGAAGTGAAAGTGAAAAATGGCTATTTCCCCCTAGCTGGGGGGAAAAATAATTCTGTTTACAACTACATTCATAAAGTTCTCATATAAGAAAGAGTTTGATAAAATTGCAGGCCTAAGTACATACATGCTTTATTATGTATCTGTGTGTTTTTAACTTATATAGATACAGTATTAGTATGACAAATAATAACATAAATATATTTACAGTAAGAAAACTGGTGACCAGAGGGACCAGTATTCTTGACAATATTTAGGTTCATAACTTTCACAGAGTACAGTGGAATTAATATACAAATATTTTAGGCTCTTGGCTCATTGACAGAATGGGGTATATATGTCTGAAACATTATAATATATATAAGTATATATGGAAGTAATTTCCTCACTAAGACTCACAAAGACAGATGAAAATGCAATTCTGTTGGTAATCAGAGTTTAAGAAGAAAAAAATCATTTTTCTGTGAAAAGTAAAGAGGGTAAGGGAGGGAATGCGGTTTTGCTTATCATTGTATAGCTTCTCTTATTTCCAAAGATGTTAGCTATTGCTAAAGAGCTGCAATCAAGAAAACCAAGATAACACCAAGAGAACCAGGGAGAAGAAAAACTAACCCTGTAACTACTGATACAAGTCCCCATACTACTGCATGGGCAATCATCAGTCAGGAAGGGCTCTTTTCAAACACACCAGTCTCCTTTAAAAAATAGTAAAATCAAGAGTTCTGCAGTCTTAATGAGAATGTTTCTATTAAAAGATACTGCTTGCTAATTTGTTAAATGTCATATCCAGTATAAAGTAAATAGAAGGCATTAGGGTATATAAGCTATAAAAGTCCACAGCTGCATCTTCTTTGTAAAGTGTACTGCAACTGCTGTTATTGTGTTCATAACAATTCTGTATTTATTTCAAAGCAGATGTTCTACCTTAACCAAATGAGATAGAGACATAGAGGGCTGGGGGTGGCTTTGAATCTTCCTGCAAGCCTGAAGAGCTAAAGCTGTGTAACCGACTATTGACCTGTGTCAGAGGATGAGGACGTCAAGTGGCAAATGAATGGAACAACATCTAACATGAAAAGAAGCTGAGGAGGTTTTTTGCATAGCTTATTATAGGCACTTAAGGAAGTAAGTGAAAGCTTCTAATTTTGAAAGCAACAGGAATTTCATAGAGGAGACTTTATTCCAAGTATATAAAGGACAATTTATCTTGCTTAAGAACCAAGAAAGCAATTAAGTAAATATATATAATTTTGGAAATTAACTATTGTGCAGTCCAAGGTTTATTGTGATAGTTATTCTATTTTTTAAGCTCAAAGCTACAAGGAATATAATAACCCATTGAAGAGAACCCATGTTACCATGTGAGTCCTTCTAATCAACTTTCCTCTTAGGTATTAAGCTAACTATTCAGCAAAACTGTGGCATTTTAGGTCAGACCTTGCTCAAGTTTCATATATGTGCATTGAGCTCCATGTTACTGGCAAGGTTATCACCATAAAACCTCACAGGAGTTCAAATCAAGTGATGTGCAAAAGGGCTGCATCCCTACCAGATTGTTTTGATGATGGATAACTGGATCAAAGAAATTTTTGTTACTAGTGTTACCTATTTTGAAATACTGAAATGTGTTTGAAAAAGTGCACTGGAGTTGGCTAAATACATGCTGGATATTAGGCTTTCTCTGAAGAGAACAGTCCTGGCACCAATATTTACTCACCCCTTGCGTAAACTGCACATAGGAAACCACGCATTTAAAGACTTTTCCAGCTTTCAGCATTTTCCAAGCTTTTCAGCATTATTGTCTTAGTTAAAGATTTATTAGGGAATTAATAACAATAGTGTTATCTTACATATGAAGAATTCTTCCTACCAAATCAATTTGTATGTGGTGGGGTTTTTTCCTCACAAAGTAAGTAGAATGTTGAGTCATTTAAACAATCCTGACCATCTAAAAGGAAATAAATTATTATAAAATCACAATATAGGATGAGATTTTTTTTCTCCATAGTTAATAATTTAGTTTCCCTTGAGCATTGGCACTGTTTCATACTTACCTGATTTACCAACTTACTGTTAATTTACAAATTAGATTAAAGTATTCCCCTTATGTTCAGAAATGTTCTTCTATGGTATGCATTTTTTGATTCTTTACTAACCACATTAATTTTAGAATTTTTTTATGTCACACATAAAATTTAGACTTGGAACCGTATTTAAATTGAAATACTTGTTTACCTAGAGGTAAAAGGCATTTTACAGTATTCAGTCAATGACTGTAACAAGCCACCTGGTGGCAGTAGCCAATCAGTCAAGATTTGCCAGGTGACTGCACAGAAACCCGCTTTGGTTTTGCATCTTTATTCTGACACGATAGCTGAAGTCCCTGCCCCACAGCTTTCTACCAAAATATGTATCCACTATGACTTAAGTAGATTTTTTTTTTTAAATCTGACACTAAATATTTAAATTGGTTCCCTGATATCAATTTGAGACAGGTCTGTATAGGTGTTATGAGAAAATGACACATAACCTGTCACTTTTCTGACATTCTCCACTTAATACACACATAAATTGATAAAGGACTTCAGTAAAATCATTTCACCTCATTCAAGTGATGTGGGTCAATGCTTTGTTTGATGCACACTATCAGGTTTTATCTGATTAAAGTACTGCATTAACCTTATTGAGTTTTCAGTATTTTCTGACCATTGCTATGATGATTTTTAAAATTATTAATTTCATTATATCAGCAAGATGCGATACGTTTTTATTGTTCTGCTTTACAGGGAGAACTTGCTGGCAAAGGCATTGACCTGTAAGTGCTTCAGTGTAAGGCACTTTAGACCTGATTACAGAATTTGTAATGTCAAGATAAGATTAATTGAAATCTTGTACAACCTTCTCTCACACAATCAGTTTCTTTGCCAGCCAATCTCAATTCCTCCTTTGCCCTTTGTCGCCCCCCCCCCCCCCCCCCAGCTTTTTTTCCTCTTCCCTTTCACTCGGATTAGGAACTAATTTTCCTACTCTTTTTCATCTCATCTCAGAACTCCTTTCTCAGACAACCCATTTCCATTTCTTAACCTTTTCTCAGCAGCTCCTAATTTGACTCCTTCATGGATTTAAATGCATTCTTTGTTCAGACCCAGCATGTCTGTGGGTTTTGCAGTTGCTTTGGGTTCAAGCATACGCAGTCCTGCTGGAGAGATGATGCTCAGCACTGTCAGTTGTAGCAACATTCCAGTTAGTACATGCCCAGTGCCCCTGTGGGGGAACCATGGTGTTTGAGTACTCTCCATGGGAAGGGCTGCAGGGATTTTAGCTCTTACCTAAGCAAGTCTCAACTAAAGGTTTGCAGAGACTTTCAAAAGCTAATAAACAGGTCAGACCATAACAGGGCTGGTAAAAAGTATATCCAACATTGTGAGCTGTGAGAAGAGTAAGGGAGAGAAGGGTGTTTTGTACCAGTTTTAAAGTCCCATAAGCAGCAATCCTTGATTGATGAGCACAGGGGAATGTCAAGCAAGGTGTAAAAGGGACCCAGCCCAGACAGGCTATGGAAAGCTGCCTCCTGCACAGTCAGGCTAGCACATGGTCACTTTGGAAGCCAGTACCTCCAAGGAAGTTCCAAACTTTCTCAGAAGCAAAATATCAAAGCTGTTCTATGGTACGAGACACTTTCCTCCAGCTGAAATGGAGACTCAGTGCTTCGTGCAGAGATAGGATACTCATAAAAACTGAACAGCAGCAGCAGTTTGTCCCAAAATACAACTAGGTTGTAATTCGTAGGTTCTGGGTGTTCACATAGGAATCACTGTCCAGTAATGGGCAAACAACTCATCAGTAATCCTAAACTTAAATTTGTGGAAGACCAAAAGACCTGATGATATCAATGAGACAAACACTAATGAATTTTATTTTCTGGTAGCAGCATTTGGAGATGGTTCAACTGTAAATGTTTTTGTGGTCTAACTGCTGTACAGCAAAGGATTTGTCAGTCTGAATTCCAGCTTTGTAGCAGTCTAATGCAAACCACTCTTATATCATCCTCCTTGTTCTTCCTGCTCATGTTTAACATCTTTCAAAATAAGTGCTTGTGGTAGTCATACATTTGGTGAAATATTTTCCTTCTGCAATATATTACCCTGTGTTAACCTGTTCAAATTACCCTGGCTTGAATTCTGCCTGCACTGAAAGATTACAGAGCAGGACTACAGTTCCCAATATAAGCTTTCAGATAACTTAATGTAATTTTTTCTTTGCTTAAAAATCAGATGTCAAATATATAGAACTGAAAAGAAAAATCAGTTGGTTACCATTTGAACTCAAAGGTAAGATTTAAGGAAAATATTAATGATATTCTCAGTATAGTTTGATATATTAGGAAGGAACATCATTAAGGAGATGGAGTGTGCAAGAGACACTCTGAATATTTATTTTTGAGGAGGAAATAGATCTGCTTGATAAGACATTGCTACAACTCATTTAGGAATAGATCCACTGAAGTCTTAAATCTCAGCATATCTCACTAGTGTTACATGGAACGATTCACAGGAAGACAGAAGTGGTTCAGCACACAGGTATGGTAAGTTCTCCTTCTACAAGAAAAATTGGCCCAGTTTATGTGAATCAATTTTACATTTAACAAAGCTAAATGGTACAAGAATATAATTCAGATAGTTTTGTTTGCCAAGTCCCCACATTTACAGATTATTAATATCAAACTAATGTGATGCTGTTAGCTAAAGCAAAGTCAAATGTATCTTAAGCATTTATGTGAAAAGCTACCTTTAATGACATTTTATATGGTCCTCTTTAAAGATATTTGCACTGAATTTTACAATTTTCTATTAAAAATTAAACTTGATTAAAAATTAACTTTCCATGGATCTTAGAGCATTGATTGTTTGAGGCCACACAGTAAGAGAATGGCCAAACTGGAATTGAAAACAAACCCAAAATGTTAATCTTTGAAAGGTCAAACACTTCCTTACATGAAAGGCCAGTAAGGACAAACTAAATAGGTTCATGTCCTAGCCTCTCCATCTCATGATTTCTGACTGAACAGACATTTTTATTCCAGCCTATCATTTATTCACTGCCCACCAGGTTATTACAAAAGCCATTTAGAAGGGACTTTTTTTAAAAAGCTATAGGTGATTACATCAATGTTGTCACTAATGTTTTCACTCAGTACTAGATTCTCATGTCCAAGAACGTATCCAAATTTCTGCTGAGCATGTAACTGCCTAAGAAAGCACTTGTTTTCAGTCACTGCATAGCAAAGATTTAACTTAGAAAAGACTGAAGTTTAACCAAACTGCAGAAATACAGTTTTGAAGAAAAGGAACTTTCTTCAAGTTTGCATTTCTGGTTGAGAAATCCCCATTAGAAAACAAACGCTATACAGAAGACTCAACACCTCTTAAGCTTCTTATTTTTGGAACAATAACACAGTGCTAATTTATGAATTTACAGAGTATGAGTGTAGAGCATTGAGAAAAAATGCTCGCTTTAATTTTATAAAGTCTCATATTTCCTGTGTGCAGGCCAAAGGAATCTGCTGTTAATTTTAGTTAGATGTTCAGCTAAGTTCTGTCTGTACTAGTTGGCTTTTTCTGTTGTTATTCGGAACTATATTTCTGTTACTAAAAATAAAAAACTACTGTCACCATGTAAGTACTCCAAGTTCCCACACTGTGTTTTTACCCTTTAAAAGTACTTAGAGTACTTTTTACCCTTTAAAACAGGCATAAGCAGTATGACATTAGTGAGATATGACACCTAGTGAAAAGCTCCCCAAAGTGTACTGACACCACTACTAAGATAAGTGCTCTGTAACACTGTGTTCCAAAACAGGAGGAAAGAAAAGAGAACCATTAGGAAGGTGTATGTAAAAGGACTGAAGAATTCCAGTATGATTAGATTTGAAACTGCTGCAAAATTATTTCCTGATGATTAATATTGATATGGTATGTACTCTTATTTTGAAGCAACGATTGATCATTTCCTGCTGCAGTAAATCACAATCACACACAGAGGAACTGCAAACAAGATAAAATGGCACTGTGAAAATCACTCCTCAGATGCCAGTGCAGCAAGTGCTCAGTTGGTGTTGGCTGTGTTCTAGACAAAAGTGCAATGCTCAAAGGTAACACTTGTGCATTCATGTTTTGCTGGCTTCCATACAGAGAAAAACTGCTCAATTTACATGTACTAAATGAACAGACCCAAAGTCTGTAAGGGATGGGCCAGCATAAGAGATGATGGTGATGGAGAAAGGATTAGAGAAGTCTGCGCTGTTCCTGATTACACTTCACCAAGAGACCTGCGACATTCATTATCTTTGAAGCAGGTTTTTTTTTTTTTATATTGAATTGAAAACCAATGAAATAATAATAAGTGATTATTAATATATAAATTATACCAATTATTAAGTGATTTCACAGTACCTAGGAAACTTTTTTTGCTGTGTAGTCAATCAAGTCCTTTATTTACACTGTTGACATCTGGTTTAGCTACAGTCACAAATTATGTCAAAATAACTATCTCAGGCTTGTTTTCATAATTATTTTTGTCCAAGACACTTAAAAAAAAGTCTTTTTCATAAACCTGTTTCCATTTGAAAATCTGTCTCCATGCATAGTATAGAGGGAATGTGCCAATGCAAACCTACCTAGTAAGGCTACGGTGAGTTTCGGTATGGAGTAAGAAAATCAAAAGAGACACATTTTAAAACTTTGTAACAGAAGAGAAATTGCTTTCAATAATGCCCATTTCGTTCCTATCTTGCTTTTGACGAAGTATTCGACATGCACTTTAGGATAACTATTTATGCAAAGGACTTGGCTACATAGGCATTATTTGCTCTCCCTCTCTTAGAGCTGCTCTCTGTGTAAGCAGCTCATGAAATTTTAAATCCCAGCCCATTTTCAGTATGTGACAGGACAACAGCAAGCCTGGAAAAGACACTTGTGCAAGGCTCTGTGGCAGACCAACTGCAGCCACTTCAAGTTACTGAAGCTTGCAGAGGACCCTAGAAAAAAGATGGTCCACATCTCATTCAGTTACCTCAGTTGGTTTTGTTCCTATGACTTCCATAATTGTTGAAGCTTCCTGTATTTCCCATTCCTATCATCTTCTTTTCTGGGACACATCCAATTCAGAGGAAACAGCCAGCATGCCAGGAGAGCCAGGGTTCTGTTAGGTGCAAGTCTGTCCTGTATATGGACACAGGCCAGCAAGCTGAGTAAAGAATAAGGGGGCTGGAAAAAACAAGGACAGTGGAGAATTCTACTGGGCAGGAAATAGCCATGTGAAATAACTCAGATTGTAAGTATCACATCTGAATCATATCTGAATGAGCCTTGATGAGGTGAATCTTAAGGGAACTGCACTCACAGGGGTGCTTTTCCTTTTTGCCCCATTCTGTCCAGGAAACCTAATATATGTCAAGGGCATGCATACAAATTGACATAGGCACCTACACCGATATGAAAACCTTTCTCAACAATACCAAAAAACATTAACTGTAATGAGGAACAAACAGATTTCTTGACATTTTCAGAGGGAGGAGCAAGTGAAAGAGAAAATAAAGGAGAAAAGCTACCAAATGATAAAAAAACCTTCAGTTTGAAATGAGTGGAAGTGTTTCCATGAATATCAAGACCTTTGGACTTTCCCTAAATGCACTGTAATTTGATAAATGCCCTGCAGTAAAATACACTTATAAGGGTATGCATGGGATGGCTGGAAGTAAATGGTTAAGCCTAAATTGTTTTGCAGACTCCTTCCAATTCCACAAAATATATATTCTACCTTCAAGAAGAAAAAAAGAAAAAAAAAATAAACTCAGTATAACACAGTGACTGTAAATTGAGAAGCACTTTTTTTTTAAAACATATTTCTAGGCAATAAAAATAGACTTTCTAGGCAATAAAAATAGACTGACCTTCCAAAGCTGCAAGGCTGACCTTTACACTGGGGTGCAGTTAATGACTTCGGTCGTGAGAGGCCTGGAGCAATTGTTCCAGGTGTTCTGCAATACAAAGCAATGGTAAGGGCTGAATGGTGTCAGCACTTCGGATGACAGTATGCAGCAAAACAAGGCGGCGGGGGGTGTTGTTCTGGTGTTTGGGATTTTTTTTAAAAACCATGCTACCTCTTGGTCAAAAACAGATCCACGGAGTTTGTAGTCTTGTCCACACACTATATATAGCACTTAAACTCTGGCTGACATCATGTTTTTTGAGCAGCGCAGCCTATCGGGATGGAGCCGGCCGCCCGGCGCTGGGTGCCGGCCCTGAGGCAGCGGGGCGGGAACGCTGAGGGAACTCGGCGGGGCGGCGTTCCAGTCACCGCAAGGAGCGGCTGGGCCCAGAGGCACCAGGCGGGATACCCCAGACAACCTTTAAAGCCACCCAGCCCTCAGCAGAAGGCCCGGTAAACCGCACAGAGCTCCGGACTCAGGTGGCCGGGACACCTCTGGTGCCTGTGCGCACCAGCCGAGCGTAAAGGCGCTGCTGGGGCTGTGGCTGTGGAGGCTGACAGCAGACAGGTACCACCACACCGCACTGCCCGACAGCCCTGCCGGGCTGCAGGGCCCAGGCTCACGGAGAGATCAGCCCGCTCGCTGCCGCAACAGCGCGGGGCACGGGGGGAGCCCCTGAGGTATCTCTGGGAGAACCCGGGGTAACCCTGAGGGAACCCTGGGGTACCCCTAAGGTATCCCTGAGGTATCCTCTCCCCTCAGGGCGCGCCTCGCGGAGCCGCCAGCGGAGGGGCAGGACCGCGAGCTAAGGGGCGGAGTCAGTTTGGCGGGGCGGGGCTGAGAGCGGAAGAACGGGGCCGGACAGGAATGGAGGGGCGGGATTGACGGGGAGGGACCAAAGCCGGAGGGGCGAGGCCGGGCGGGGCGAGGCCGGGCGGGGCGAAGTGCTGAGGGGCGGGACCTAGCGGGAAGAGAGCGAGATCGGAGGGGCGGGGTCTCCCCGGCCCGGCCGCCCCGCAGCGCCGCCGGGGCGGGTCCTGGGCTCTCGCGGGAGCTGCGCCGGGCGCCGCCCGTCTCCGAGCGCGGCCGCCGCGGAACCAATAAACTTTGTTTAAAAAAAAAAAAGGCAAGAAAAGGGCAGGAAAGGAGCGGTGCCGTCGCGGCTGCGGGCAAGTGCGTCACTGACCGCTGAACCAGCCCGGGGCGGCCGCTGCGGGCAGCTCCAGCCCCGGCTCCCCTCGGCCTCGGCAGCCGTCGCCCTCCGCGGGGAGCGGCGCCTCCGCCGCTCTGCGGGCCCGCTCGTGAGTATGGTGGCACGGCTGCGGTGGGCAGCGCTCCCCGCGGAAGGCGACGGGGCGGCCGTGAGGGGCCTGGCGGGGCGCTCCGGCTGCGCCGGGGCGGGCGCGAAGAGTGACAGGTGTCAGGCTTCCCCTGCCCGGGGGCACCCCTGTAGCTCTGGCTGCGGGCCGGGCCGCGCTGTGGGACGGGAGCTGCTCCGGGGTGCTGCCGGCGGCAGTCCCCGGCCGGGGCAGGGCTGGGCTCTGCCTGACAGCTCGTCCCGTGCCGCCTCCCCTCCGCCCTGCCCTGCAGTGCCGAGTCTCCGTACTCCCCCGGGACCGGGGAACATGTAAGAGCGGCCGGAGGCGTGAGGCGCTCCTGAGCTGCCGTGTGCTGCCGGGGGTCTCCGCTGACGGAGAATTGTCTATTCCCTCACGGCAGGGCTCGCCTCTCCCTCCCCGCACTGAGAGTCCCGGCGCGGCGGGAGCGCCCGACGGGCAGCCGCAGCCATGCCGGGCCGTAAGGAGACGCGGCTGCTGCACCTCAGCGAGATGGAGAAGCTGGACAAGACCCTCTTCAGGCTGGAGCAGGGTAGGTCGGGGTGCCGCGGCCGGGTGAGAAGGAAGTGGCCGGGACCTCGTAATCGCCTTTGGATGGTAGTGGAAAGAAGAGCTCATCCTGAAGTGGGGAAGTTTTGGGGGTGTGTGGGGGGTGTTCTTGGTTTAGGTTTGGTTGTGGGTTGGTTTGTTTAGTTTTGATTTGTTTCCACTGCAGAGCCCTATGGGCTCCGCACACAGTTTAATTTGACTCGTTAAACTCTTGAGAAATGAAGAGCAGATTGGCCAAGAGCCGTCAGTCTTCATGGGACTGAAGCACAAAGCGTTTTTTAGACAGGCCTTTTCCTTCTCCTTTTATAGCCTGTGTACTTCAGTGACCTGAAAAAGTCCTCATAAGTCAAGGTCTCCAGTGTTTATCTTCTTATGCAGCACCCCATGTTTTAATATTACAGTTTTGAAATCTGTCGGTAATGCTTGCATTTTGCACAGTCTGCAGGTTTGAGGTAGTGCTTCAGAATATAAGCTCTTTAGCAACTCCTAAATCTTATTACCAGATTTGTTAACTTATCAGAGCTATGTATCATGCTGCGTACTTAAAAGAACTTGATGTTATTTCTTCCTGAGAGTGTTTTTAAGTCTATTTGTAAAAAAGTTCAAAACCAAAAACCATCCACTAATTGGTCTACTATTATGCTGGTCTGCAAATTTAGACTATAAAACTGAAGCCCTTGTCTTTAAAAATATTTTTAACAGTCCAACAATTTTTAGTAAGAGTTATTGTGGATTTTTTTTTTACAGTGTGTTCCTAATCTAGGGAAATAAAGGAGCAAGATTTTGATTCTTGAGAATAAAAATTCTCTTCAACTATATTAATTCCAGAATCTTCTGACCAGCCTAATGTAAGGAAATGTCAATAGTGAAGAAGTGCAGCGTTGATCCTATAACTTATCCATCAAGATGTGTAAATTTTCTTGACATGAGGGAAGCAGAAGTGCATGGCTGTCAAACATTCAAAGTGCCCCTGCTGGTAGCAGTCTCTGAGAGGGCATAGCTAATTTTGAGCACAGCATTTCTGATGTCAGTATAACTCTTAGAGGAAATAAGATATCAGTGGCATATATCCCTGTGCTCTAATTTTAGTAATCCCTGCAACAAAATGTCAGGCCAGTACTGAAGAGAATGTACTTAACCTTCCAAAAGTAGTTTTATGCATGTATTTATTACATTCAAGTGAGCTTCATTTTACCTGACAGGCATTCAGATCTGAAAACAACTGCTTTGCCTGGTGGGTTTTGGTGCAGTGGTGATTTTAATGAGACAAACACACAGCTGGATAACACTTATGTTTAAATGTATTCAGACATTCAACTCTGGTATTAGAGTCCCCATGATTCTATTTAATAAACAAGTAGGTTTTTTTCAACTCAAGGTATTGTAACTTGGTGTCCATAATTTTTTATACTTTCTGATTCATTATCTGTGTACTAATAATTTTCCTCTTTTTTACAAGTACTCAGGTTTCTTTTACTCCCAGTTTTGTAGGCTGCTAGGACTAGTAGGTGATTTACTGCACTTAACTATGTGACTGGCATGTTCTGTGTAAGAGCTTGCATCTGTTTCATTCACTTGAATGAACCCTCCACTTAGCCACTTGTGATGGTGAGCCTCATACTTGCAAGGGAAAACCTTTCTAAAACCTCCTGACTGAATAGAATTTTTATGTCTAACTCAGTAAAGTGCATATGCTTTTATGTTCTAATTTTTTAACTTAATTTTTTCTCACTATCAAAAGTGTCTTAAGCTTAAACTTAAGCTTCTTTCTATGTGTGTGAGAGACCTGAAGCACACCTACAAGATTCCCTTTAATTTGTTGAGCTCTCTGAAAGTCTAACAATTTGTATATTGTAGATCACACACAAGTATATGTAATTCTTCAGTTATAGCATAAGAATTTTACCTGTTCCTAATTTTTTTCAGATGTTTTCATGGGTCAGCCTACTATATAGACTTGGTAAACCTAAGTACTTAAAGACCATGTAATCCAAAATCGACATAAAACTGTGTGTAGTCTGATCATCGTGGTGCTTTGCTGTATTTTATTTTTTAAAACTTTATGTAGCAAAGACAAAGAAATTAGAAAGAAGATGAATGGTCCCGTGTAAGTAAAGGAAAAAGTATATTTGTAAAGTGTGCCAAGAACAATGTTAGGAAGGAAGGGAGAGATGATGCAGCTTTGAGTGCTGCAATATAAGGTTTGAAGCTATTAGAGAGTGTCCAAAGAAGAGCAGTGAGGATGGTGAAGGGCTTGAGAGGGAACTGTCTGAGGTGTGGCCGTGAACACTTGGTCTGTTCAGCCTGGAGGAGAGGAGACTGAGGGGACACCTCATTGCAGTCTGCAGCTTCCTTGTACCCCCATGCCACTGATCTCTGCTCTCTGGTGACCATTGACAGGACCCAAGGGAATGGCATGGAGCTGTACCAGGGGAGGTTTCAGCTGGGTATTAGGAAAAGGTTCTTCACCCCCAAGGTGGTTGGGCACTGGGGTAGGCTCCCTAGGGAAGTGGTGACAGCACCAAACCTGACAAGAGTTCAAGAAGTATTTGGAAAATGCTCTCAGGCACATGGTGTGATTCCTGGGGAATTCTGTGCAGTGCCAGGAGTTGGATTTGAGGTCCTTATGAGTGCTTTCCAGCTCAGGATGTTCTATGATTCTATACTGTAGAAGTTTATAACTGTGCTGAAATTCTTAGCAACTATGATGGTGTTATAAATATAGTAGCAAATTAGGAATTGTAATAAGAGACTAGAAATATCTAATCCTCCTGATCAAGTAATTTTAACTTTTGTCTTTTTCTTTTTTTCTTGAGGTTTTGAGCTACAATTCCGATTGGGCCCAACTCTTCAGGGCAAGCCCGTTACTGTGTATACAAATTATCCAGCTTCTGGAGAAGTATTTGATCGCCACAAGTTCAGGACACTGTCGTGGCACAATCCCACAGGAAAAGAAGATGACTCTGACAAATACTGCAAGTTGGATCTCCAAATTTCTGGGTCATACCAGTACTATTTTAGTCTTGGGTAAGTGAAATTTGTATACCTGCAGCCAAATGCAGTTTGCTCCCTTGGTCTACATCTTAGCCTGAAAAAAACCCATTTTTTTCCATGCAGTTTTCAAATTGTAGCCAAGGGACCAATTAGAATCCACCAATGAAAGACAGTAACTGGTGGTTCTATAGTACTTTCTGATGCAGAGATATTCTGGAGAATATACAGAGCCAAGCTGATCAACTTTCTGTGAATGTTGGAGAAGCAATC